CCAGTTTTTAAGGACAAATCGCTAAATTTGCCTCTCGCTAAAATTCCCACTTATACGGTATTTGATATATATAAATATGATACTTTAATACAAAATATAGCATATTAATGTCAAACCTTATAAATAACTACAATATTTACTGAAGTGTGACCAATTCATAGAAAAAAAATTGTATTTGTGTTCTTTACATTTGTACTAATTAAAAACTCAGAAAAAAAATTACACCGCATGCTGCATTTAACGCTAAATCAGACAGTATGGCGTCTGCAGGGGCTTCATTTAGAGAAATCTGTAAAAAAAAAAAAAAAAAAGAAATGAAAACAATAAAAAGTTTATGAATTCCACTCATGAAAAATTGTTGCAAAAAGATTCACAAACATAAAAATGTTCATTATAGATAACCACGGCATTAAGTTAGGAGCATACAATCAGTTGAAAATTGTTCCACAAAACTAGATCAACCGGAAGTTGAGTGGATTTAGTATGGACACTAAGGTACTGGATGATTACTAGGCGATATGGCAGTCAATGACTGTTTGTTATTTGATTTATAGCTGGGGGACTACTCATATGGCAACCTCACTGACCACCTTTAGTAATCAAGAATATCATAACTGGGTAAAAATGGTGCGCAGTGCACAGCTGGAAATTGGTTTGCGGACAAGAAGGTCATTCAAGGGTCTTTTCATGATAGACATTTTTCAATCTCACTGTTTTGAGAATAATGGTATATTGTTTTCACTATTACCGATCCGGCAATATGTTCAGTTCACAAATAAGAATTAACAAGTGGTGCGTTAGAAATTTTGTCTAGTGTATATTGGATTCCGAAACTTCATAAAAATCCTTAAAAAGATACATTGCGGGTTCCAGTTAATGCTCAACCAAGCCTCTTTCGTTACTCCTCACTAAGATATTGACAGTAGTGAAGAAAAACTTGAAGAGTAATGCGCAACAATATAATTCATTCAAGAAGTGGTGTGAATCAGATGTGGATACTAAAAAAATCCAAAGAAGTTTTGGACAATTTGAAATCACAAGAACTTTCCAAAATTAACAGCTTAAAAACTTTTCAACTTTATACACAACCATTCTCCACGATATTAAAATCCAGGCTTTTTGATATCATAGACAGATGCTTTTTCAATAAAAATGGAACTTGTAAATTTACTTACCTGGTCATTGGTCATTTGCAAAATTGTTTTGTTAAAACAAATTCTGATTGCACACACAAGTACTCTGAAGTTCACATCAAAAACATGCTTGAGTTTCTGATTGACAATATCTAGATGGTTTTTTTTAGACCAGGTATTCCAAAAATTTATTAAAATTCCCATGGGTACCAATTGCGCACCGTTATTAGCAGACCTATTTTTATATTCATATGAAGCAGAATTTGTGCAAAATCTTAATCGTGAAAAGAAGAAAACACTTGCTGTGGCCTTCAACTCGACATTTAGATAATTATATTGACGACGTATTGTCAATTAACAATGGTCATTTCCATTCCTACGTTGATACGATATTTCCTGGTGAGCTTGAGATAAAAGATACCACAGAGTCTGACATATCTGTTTCATACTTGGATATTTTACTTGAAAAAGACGATAACGGTAATCTAAGAACCAAACTATATGATAAACATGATGACTTTAACTTTTCTATCGTTAACCTCCCTTACTTATGCAGCAATATACCTTCGTCACATGAATACACATGAATACGGAGTGTATATATCTCATTTGATTCGATACGTAAGAACATGCTCTACACATGAAAAATGTCTAAAACTAGGTAAATAATTAACAAGCAAGTTGATGAAACAAGAATATCAACAGTCTCGTTTAAAGTCATCATTTCGTAAATTCTATGGTTGATACAATTACCTTGTCAGGAATACAATTTATCATTTAGAAAAATGCTGACTGACGTTTACGTACTAATTGCTTAGTCCATTGTTTATACACTGAATTGACGACGGATTTTTCCATTATTTCCCGTGCGTTTGTATTGTTCTTTGGACTGTGATATTGAATATGGTTCGTAATCTCAGAACTCAGAAAGGGCCAGGGACACTAATTAACTAAGTACACATGATACATTATAGGGAGCCGACTGGGGTTTTATTGTGTGAAAACTACAATGGAGATGCTCTAAAATCTTATAATATATGTATCTTACGGTAGCTTACATCTACTTCAGTGTACATGCCAAGTTTGGGAAAGTCTGTCGTCCACGTATTTTTAAAAGGACCGTCTCGAAATACATGTACAATTACATTTAATATTGGATTATATAAGAAAGTCCAATTTTTCATACTTAAAAAACTCTTCAAACTCTTAAATATTTCTATGTTTTAAATTTCAAGAGCTTATTTTTTTTCCTCAAAACTAGGAATCCATTGATATGGAAGTTGCAGAATCCTAATTGTCTTCATAATTATTTGGATTGACAAAAGAAAAACTGGAGTCATCAAGTTTGTCATATAGTAAATTAAGCATTGAATTATTATTTTTTGAAAGATGCAGTCTCATAACTGCAATGGTGTGTGCAAACAAATTGAGTAACAAATTTGTTTGCACACACCATTGCAGTTATGAGAATGCATCTTTCAAAAAATGATAATTCAATGCTTAATTAAAAAAATTAACATTCTTTTTTTCTACCGTTAACTTCCAAATTGAATACTCAAGAACCAGGAAGGTTAATTTAAACAATGAAATGCTTCGTTTGGTTGTTAGTATGGGGTTGAATGTCGCAATGCTGCAGAAAAAAATACATAACCCGCGTTAACGTGTTATGTAAATTCTTTCTAATTCTTTCTGCAGTAGCTGCTACTTTTATTCCACTACTAGCAACAAAAGAAAGACATTTTATTGTTTACATTTATATCTGTTTAAATAATCATTTAAAGTAGGATAAAAAAGATTAATAATTATTGATACGTTCGTCTTAGTATGTTTCATTGATGAAACAACCACTGATCAAGAAATCTGTACAGGTGATATGTCTAGTGTTGTTCATGCACTGATTAACGGCAATGGGTTTTCTTAAGAAATAAAGGAAAAACATTTAGTGGATGTAGATATAATTGCAATAATGTCCCCGATTAATCATGTCCACAGAATGTCGTTTAGGCTTTTTAAAATACTTTTTAATACTTTGTATTTTACATTTATTCATCAATTTAAAAATCCGCTCTATTATTTGCGTCTGATTTGGTATTTATATTTCATCGTATTGAAATTCTTCACCACTTGATATTTAAACTTCCTTCTTGTGCAGTAAGCATTTAGTGTGAAAATTCTTTTAACAAAAGTAATTCAATAATTTTTTTTTAATTCAAAAGGGAGAACAAATCACGATCTTATTGAGGAAAATCGTTCAATATGCATTTATACATGTATTATTGTAAAAATGTTAAAAGACTGTATGTGATCTTGTCGTTTGGATTTTTAAAGAAAACATTATATAAGGCAACAGGGAAGTAATTCAAGAAAAATTGGCTTAAATTCATTTTATCACAACGACATGTTTCTTCAACTTTCTGGATTCAACAATATTGCATTTTGGGGTAAGTATCGTTGATCTCATGTAGTAGTTGTTGAAGAATATTTTTTAAAATACTTTAGGTTACATTTTGTATGAAATACGCTATTGAAGTCAACATCGAAGACATACAAAATTATCTTCCTAAGACGATGAAATATATGGAGATTAGGAACAGTATTAAGCTCAAAGGGCCATATAAAACAATTCAAAATAGAGCAAACATGGACATTCGAAATGTCAGAGGTGGGATCAGGTGCCATGGAGGAGTGTGCATCCCCTGAAGACGGGTAACACTCACTGTGTGCTCGTTGTCATGAATGGATGACAGATAAATCTGTCGTCAATTCATTGTGTAAATAATGGCCTTACCATTGGTATGAAAAACGTCAGTCGTCATTTGACTCAATGATTAATTCATTTGCTAACAAGGTCATTTATCGACCTTACGAAATTATGACTTTAAAATATATGTAAAATGAATAAAAATTAAAGCTTAATTTTTTGTTATGTAAAGTTGTATTTTATTATTTTGAGATAAACATCTCGGCATTTTGTATAAAAAGACAAAGTTAACGAAAGTAATCGATCTAAAAAAAAATCTACAAACAATTCAATGTTGTGAACAGGACATGAACACGGATCTTTGGAAATTTCATAGGTTGGATCAGGAGCCTATAGCTAGGAAGAGTAAACATTCCATGTAAATCCAGGCACATCTACCGTTAGCCCTGTTATTTATAAGACAAAACACTGTAGTATTCAGTTGATAAATTTGATACAAAATGCAAAGGCCTAACAATTTATATGTAACGAGTCAGCCAAAATACGTCCAAATTTAAGGTCATATTTGCTAACAAAGACCAAAGCATATATGGAATGATGGCTTTAAACAAGCTGTCGAGGTCCCTGTAACATCACCATATCTATGAGTATCCTAGTACCCTACATCTGTTTAACAATTTATCGTTTCGAAAGCATGCTCTTGGGGCATAAACATTAATTCTACATAAATGTAAAATTATTGGAAACCTGGAATTTTTAATTTTCTTAAACAAACTAATTATAATTGTTATTCATTTCTAATGACCTTGTCAGCAAATTCAATCTAATAAGTCAAATAAGAATTAAGGAATGTTTTTCATATTTTTAAGCCATTACATGTTTCATATACATAAATAATTATATATTTTATATGTATTGAATTATCAACATATTTTTTCTTGTTATTCCCATTATTCCCAATTATCATAAAGAGCATACGGCAGTTGATGCTCTCTGTTCCATGCCTTCTGATCCAAGCTATTCATTGTGTGGTAGAGGTTTGCGTTTGCGCTCATCCAAATTTCTATTGTCCGAATGAACTTTGAACTTAATACTAGTTGGTCTCCATATTTCATTTCTCTTTAACTAATCATAGAATATCCTTTACTTTGAACAGGAACCATTATCTCCACTTTCATGATTGAGGTACATGCAAAATGTTTGTCCATCTATAAGAATAACATATGCGGTACGGGCGGTGTTTATTATGACTGTCAGAATCAGGAATTTACTTCTGTACCAAAAGTCAATGTTTCAGGAGTAGTCGCAATAGATCTGTCATACAACAATATCACAAATCTTACCAATTCAGATTTCGAAGGAATGGATGCTTTAAAAGCATTATATTTCACAAGGAACAAACTGCAGCGTATTGAAAAGAATGCATTTCAACATTGCTCTCAGCTCTGTATATTAGATTTGGCCGGGAATGGCTTAACAAAAGATTCAATAGAGGAGGGTGCATTCAGGTATCTGACAGCGCTTGAGGATCTGAGAATGAATGACAATCCTTTTTCTAAAGGCGGATACCCGGATGTAGAAATAGGAAGGCTGACGTCATTAAGAAATTTCACATTAGATGCAACTTATTACTTAAGCTTTTCTACAGAATTCCAAAGGTTGAAAAGGCTGCGGTATCTACAGATTTTACCATCAGCTTATTTCTGGTTTGACAATTATTCATTTATGAATCTGGGAAATCTAAGTATTGAATATTTGGACCTCCAATTCAGTGATCATAGTGCTTGTTACCATGATATTGAAGATATATTCTGGCCTTTTTCTTCTTTGAAAGGGTTAACTTTTCAAACATTTTGCGGTTTACGTTACGTTCTGAAATCTTTGAAATCTTTGAAAAGACTGAAATTTAATCAAATGGAATACATCAACTTTACAAGATCAAGTCCCTTCAATGGTGAACCCGTTCTCCTCAACGATTATGATGTAGCATTTCTCAAAAACATTTGTGTGAAGTTCCTTTCTCTACAGGACACAAATACTGTCGGAATACCAACATTAAACCCATCCATATTTATGGAATGCATTGAAGAAATTGATGTGTCACATAATTCAATCTACACCTATTCCACATTCGTCATGTTCTTGCAAGCGAGACGAATCAAACTCGTCAATTTCAGTCATTTGAATGATTGCCGATTACCAAGTTCAAGAGGGAAATTATTAGAGATGAGGGAAATGTTACCAAAACGGCCTCCTGTTAACGCCACTCTCTCAAAATCCTTGGAGGAAATCGACGTTTCTTACACCTACGCAAAACCAACTTTACTACTTTACGTTCAATTAAAAATATTCGCTACAAACCTCAAAAAGATAAACTTTCAATATATAGGTTTTCCCCTCTGTTCTTTAAACAATATAGAGTTACATTTTCCGAGTCTGAGAAGCATTGATGTTTCAGGTTCGTCTTGTGATAATTTAAACTTACATTTTTTGAAGCATCTCCCCTCTTTAACAGAAGTTTATATGCGTAATACCAAATTGAATATCGGTCTAGCCACTGATGTAAATGGAACTTTCTTTCGTGGACTGTCGAAATTAACGATGGTTGATTTTTCTGAAAACGCCTTGAAAGAGTTACCTGCAGATTTATTTCTCAGCCAAGCGTCTTCAATGAAGTGTCTGATACTCGAAAGCAATTCATTTACCACAATACCACGTGCCTTAAATTTCATTCCTCGGCTTGAATTCCTTGACCTTCGATCTAACAAACTGTCCTATTTTTCAAAAGAATCTATATCAATTATTGATAATTTACCCAATATAATGATAGATATCAGAAACAACCCATTTGACTGCTCTTGCAATGCTTTAGAATCCTTGAAATGGATCAGAGACAATATCAAAAAGTTTGTTTATTTGAACAGGGCTCAATGCAACGAGATGGAGGGCCCACGGATACCTGTTCTTAAGATCATTAACAACTTGAGAGCATTAGAATTAAAATGTATTTCTCAACTGTGGTTGGATATATCGATATCAATTGTGTCGTCCATGTTTTTGATTGTGCTAGTGGTAGCGATGATGTATCGATATAGGATAATCCTTCGGTATGGTGTACTGAGAATAAGGTTATTTTGGAGACGTGGTTTCGCCAATAATTTGACAAGAGATTCATCTGCTTTTGATACGTATATATCATATTCTCCCGTTGACTCCTTGTTTGTGAGTTTGCATCTTTATCCTAAATTGCAGGAAGAAAATCTTCGCATATCCTTCCGGGATAAAGATTTTAAACCTGGTAGTACCTTTGCAGAAGAGGTTGTGGAGTTCATAAACATAAGTAAATGTGTTGTTTTTGTCGTAACACAAACATTTTTGAAATATGACTGGGGAACATATGAAATCCAGGTCGCAAAAATCCATGCAATTCATAAAAACGCCCGGATTTTATTAATAATCAAGGACGACATCGAAGTTGAGGATCTTCCTCGAGATCTCCTGTACGTTTGGTGGAAAATTAAACCAATCAGATGGCCCGACGCTAACAACGCGGCAAAGAGGGAAAAGTTCTGGAGAAAGTTTATTAAGTCGATCAAGGAATCTTAAATCTTGTTTTAATGTTTGAAGGATAGTGAAAAATTTACAGCAATGGGACGAGATACCAAGGAAAATTTTCGATATTATTAAAGTCCAATGACTGCTTTGCATGCAATTTATTTGTTTTATGTGACAGGTGGATGTGATCGGTCAACAGGGACACCTTATTCCTCATAGGGATCTGATTCCACCTCAAGAATTCCCAGGGGCCATGCTAAATGCCCTATTAAAATATTTGTATCTTTTGTAGGTTTGGGGGTAAACATAAACATATATTTTATGATGCAACATTTTTAAAGGATGTATAAATCTATTTACTGTGAAATCCCTTTTGTGTGTGTTTTTGATTTTTATTGTTTTGTTTTTAATGTATGAAAACTATCACGAATTCATGTTCAATATGAAATATAATTATTGAAAAGTGCAGATTTAGAATTTTTCTTATACTTAAAAATCAAATCCTTGTGTTTTTTTTTCAAACCATGGAATTTTGACCTTAAGAAAATATATTTTAAAAGTATTTTGTTGCAACATGTCTCATGACATTGCAAAACATTCTGGTTACATGTGTTTCATATGTGTTTGTCATATTTATGTAATTTGTAATTATTGTGGTACATTGACATTTTGTTACTAGTAGTTAATTACTTTTCTGCTTTTGGTGGACTTATATACTTTTTTTGTCAATGGTCTTATAATTAAGACTTCAAATGTTGTTTCCATGCAATAACTTTTTTTCTTCAAAAAGTAGCATTCAAATTACATTTATGTTGCAAGCCAAAATTGTATAAATCTTTATACAAAAATGTTCAATTTATGGTTTTCTAAGTTCCATAAACATTTTATTTTTAAGCAAAAGGAAGCGGTCACTTATAATATTTTCTTGATAACATGAAAAGCAAAGAATTAAAATTTTAAACCAAAACTCCAAATCTACATATTAAACACTGTTGTATTCCATTCCTGAAATTATCCAAACTGTCACAATATTCTATCAATTGCTTTACTTGTACTTGGATAAAAACATCATTAGATATTAGTGTAATCATTAGCATGCTTATATATATATATATATATATATATATATATATATATATATATATATATAGGTATATGAGGTTGTTTGTGGGCACAGAGCTTCTAAGCTGGTTTGTGGGATCTCGCATTTCTACATTGCATAGATATGTCATATTCATAATTTAGGCGTTATATATGGTCCTTATGTAATATATAATATAATTTTTGAGTTAATAATATAAATATTGTATATAATTGTGGGTCAAAACATTCATATATATAGAGCATTGTGGGATAAACTATATACATCGCACAATGCTCTTCATTTATTAATTCTATGACCCGCAATATTATTTTATGCTATATATAATATTATTTG